GTAAAGCTTTTTTCCCTGAAACTGTTAGCTAAAATACTAACATAATAAAAAAGAACTGCAAATGTTTATTTGCATTTTCCTACTTCCAAACCTGAAAAGGCATTTTCTTATATGAATTTGATTGTAAAACTGCACATTTATTTAATCTCAAAGGAATCAAAGTTGAAACTGTCCTCTTTACTAAATCATCATTAACAACATATGTTTACCAATATTTCTGTTAACATTGTTTGGTTTGTTCTGTTAATTTTATTGGGAATTTGGGGGGTGGGGGGTTTGTCTGTTTGTATTAGTATAAAAATTTGCACCATGCTTCTCGTACCAGCCTGGGTTCTTGTAATTGCACACGTGTAAGGCCAAAGACATACTGTGCACCCCGTGTGTTCATTTACTTAAGTACCTAGTGCAACTGTCTATAAATCAATACAGAATTTAGCACATGCTGCATTACAAAGGGAAGCATTTGAGTGCCAATGATAAGATTATTAATTGGAGAGCAGTGGTAAGAAGGAAACGAGTACATTGAAAGACCTAATTCAATAAAGCAAACATTTGCCAGCTTTCAGAACCAGAGCATATTTGCCAGGTGGAGGGCCTTCACAAGAAGAGCCTTCTCTGGAGAACATCGATCACCTGTAAGTGGTCACTGGGATTGATTTATCCAAGGCGAGCACTGCCTATAAAGGGTGTTGCAGGATAGAAGCAGGCCTTTTCCATCTTTGCCATGTGTTGCTTCAAAATAAATTACCAAATTAAAACTGCCTTGAGATCAGTTTGTTTAATACAAAAACTGAAGAAAACAGCATACATAAAGTGAAATTGAAGACTTCTGAGTTAACAGTAACTCCATAGTATTCATAGTGACACTTCCTTTTGTAGCAGATTCATTCTTTTGTGATCTGAGCTAAATATGAAGCACAAGAAACCCCAATGCTCTTCACATGTGCTCTGAAACCACCATGGGGCTTCATGCAAAACATTAAAGCAGACAGTTTAGAAACAACAGTTTTAGTGAGCAAATAAGTTGCAAGACCTGGGACCACAATTCCAGTTATTGATTCCAAACAGTGATTTCAGCAACAGAAAATCTAACAGCTAAGAAAAGACTACTTAAAATGGAGCAAGCTCCCTCTTTACAAATCTGCCCAGTGAGGTTTGGTATTAGAAGCTATAGGATCAAATTCTCCTCTCATGTGTATCCTTGCAGCCCTCTGACTTAAATGGAAATGCACAAGTGCAACTGAGGAGAATTTGGCTGATGGTATCCAGTATTTGGGGTTAGAGAGCAAACTAAAACCAACACTTTTAAGGGGACTTGTTCAAGAACAGCCTGAATCTCAAAAACCTAAATATTCCAATTTTGTTTGTAGCCAAAACTAATTCTTTTAAAAAATAAAATTGTGTTTGCATGTTAGATCCTCTTGTCTGTAGAGCCTGGACTGTTGAACTCAACAAATGACAATTTTTGTCTCGTAACAGTAATATTTCAAATGCAGAGTTCTGTATTTTTTTAATGAATAGACTTGCATGGGTGTATGTGAGAGAGAGATCTCCCATCAGATGTGGCCAAGAGTGGGATGTGTTATGAATATAATGAGGTGGGGGTTAGGGGAGTGCAAAGACAATCTGAAACTGGCAAAGGTCATGAAAGAAGGTCCATATTAGAAGTAAGGAAAGCAAATACTGCTGTTAATTCTTGTATATTTTGTGTAATTTCCCTACCTTGATGACAATCTGCTGATTCGATCAGCCTTGTTTTTAAAAATATATTGGCTGACCAGTATATCCAACATGAGGCTGAAACCTGAAGTTGACATTTATAAACAGCATCCAGTATCTGTTGTATTAACTAGAAGTGCAACATAGGGAATATAAAGAACTTGCCATGAGCACTCTTCCTCAAGGTCCAACTGGATGAGCAGAATCAGAGGAAGAACCTAGCAAAATTGCAAACAAATCCATTTTTTTCTGCCATACCTTGGCACTTATAAAGAATTGAAGGGCAGGAGATCCATGTTCTTTTTCAGCCTCAGTCTGGACTCTCTGAACAGTGATTGTACCCAGGTTTTTTAAGTGCAGATGATGAGCTTCTTTGACCGCCACTAAGTATTAGATATCACTTGTCAGTACAGGGATTTTGATTGTCTCAGAATGCCTAAAACAGCAATATCTTTCTATACCTTTATAAACAACTTCAGAATATTTAGGAGTCGTCAATAAGTATTTTTGTCAAGATGCTAATTTTTCCACCCTATTTACTAGGAAATGCAGATGCAAAAGATTAATAAAATTTCAATGGGCTATGAATTACTGGAACTAGTTTCTGATGCTATAACTTTCTGAAATTCAAATGGCATACCAAAAGAGTTCTCTTTATGTAGAATCATTGTAAAATGGTACTGTTGCTGTAGCAACTCTGTAGTTAAGGGTATAAAACCTATTACATCCTAACCTATGTTTTTTAGCATCTTATAAATTCCCTTTTGGATCAGATTTCTCATACTTATTCTAATACTAATTTGTTTGGAAAGTTTCAAGGAACCAGTATATGTTTAGGGGGCGGGAGGGATGTTTTTTGCAACCTCTGCTGTTTCATGGAGGTTGCATAAAAGTGTTGTAATCCTCTTTTTTGTTGCCTTCACATAACTAAAAAAACCTCACTTTTAAAAAGTTTGAACTTATTGTACAGCTAATGAGGGCAAGTGACTGTGACATGTTAGAAAATATTTGATTTTGATATAAGTAAACATTGGAATGTGTTAATTTTAAAGCTTTGACAATCTATTTTTACATTTTTTTACATAGTCAACAGTAAAAAGAAAATAAGATTAATCTGAACCATACAATACAGTACTATATTGTTGTGGAATTACATTTTTTAGCTGAGACAGCCTCTGTTGTTATCTGAGTTAATTTTCTCCAAATGTTGTGTGCACTGAATAATAGTCATCAGCACCTCCTACTGAGTCACTGTTCATTCTGAGAGGGCATAAGACTCTCTCTCAGCCTCACCTACGTATCATAAAGCATGTTTTTATATCCTCTAAAATACTTGGAGCTTGAACTCAATTCTTATTTTTATATAAGGGTGTCCTGGAGTGAATGTATTACAGAACTCATATTAAGTTACAATTCAAAGGACTGGATGATTCCAAACAAATGATTTTAATAGTCAAAATAGACCTTATCTTGCGGGCCTGGTTACTACTTTGAATGAGCAAACCATCTGAGAATACCAGGTATTCTAGTCTTCTTAATCTTTCTTAGCAGTAGCTGATAGTAAATGTCTTTGTTCCCATCAGATTTCATAAACTAAGGAAAATTTGATCTATGTGGTACTTGGATAAAAGAGCTTTAAGAAAATAAAGAAGGTCTGGAATTCATAGTTTTATATGTACCAAGGGCATTAAAAAAGGGCTATACAAACACTTGGGGCTTGTCTACACTGCCCTGCAGTTCCGACTAAAGTGCTGCACCGTGTGGATGCTGTGGATGTGAACTAAAAGGTTCCTAGTTCATATTAATATAGTCCTCTAATGTAAACTCTGCATTAAACCCCTATGTGGACGCTCTCATTCATGTTAAATTCACACCTTTCGTTCATTCAGATTAACTTCAGAGTGTAGGCAAGCCCTAAGTATCCATGTGGACTCTCCTACCATGCACTAAAAGGTCCATCCTGGACTACTCCAAGAATTAATGCGCGCTTTTTTCTTGTGTAGACAAGAACATAATCTACTCCTGTTTCAAAGCAAGGTAGATCAGAGCGCACAGAAACTGTGAACTTTTAGTGCACAGCAGCAGATTCCACATGAATACAGTGCACATCAGGCTAGTGTTGGGTAGATTTACACCCCAGCTTGCTGTGAACTAAGTTTTGTATTGATGAGCCCTAATTTGTACTGTTTTTTATCATTTGGAATCTCTTCCTGGAGTTCTCTTTACATTTCTCCATGCACTTTGTAATTGATTTGACTTTTATACCAAGGAGTGTCAAGTCAGATATTGTTTTCTAGGGGAGCTGAGTTAAGGTTTATTTGTACATCTGTGAGGAGTGCTAGCTTAGGAGCCCATGTGAGTTTTTATTCTTATCTGGTTTATTATTTAGCTCAGGAAATTGCCCTTGCAAAAATGTTAATGCATATTTAATATCAAGGATAGAATATGGAACCTTTATCCAGGCTTGACAGCACTTACACAAGTAATCCCATTTACTTCATTAAAGTCAATGACAATGCTTATAAGAATAAGTGCTTAACAAGGGTAAGGGTTACACAGTCAAACACAATTAAACAATTCTTTGTTTCCTCACCAACTTATTTTCTTCATTGTGCATATACTGTACACTGCAAATGTGGATGGATGAACCAGTTCTGGAAAAGAAAAAGAAAAAAAAATTATATATATATATATAATATAATATAATTTTTTTATATACATACATATACAGATAATAGTAATTGTTTATGAAAATCTGCTTGTTTAACATAATTGTTCAGTGTTTGGAAATGTAAAGCATTAAAGGCCAGATTTTTAAAGTTGTTAGGCAGTAGGTCCCTAAATACCTTTAAAATCTGGCCCTAAGTACTCATTCTTATTTAACGAAAGACCCAAAATCAAACTAAAATGTCTCTACCTTTAATCAAGCGAAGTTAAGTACAAGTCATAATTGACAAATATTTGTGATCAAATGCCTTTATATATTGGTCTTCTATCTTTTTACATTTTGTCAATAGTATTTTCATAAATCTAGATTAATTTATTGCCAGTGTTTATAAATAACATTTATGAAAATCTATGAAGAGAGAAACAACTGTTGAGACCTTTTGCAGGGATAATGGGTGCTGTGATATCAGGTTAAATTTTAGATCATTCCAAGAAGAAAGGATGATATTACAGTAAAAGTGCATGAAGGACAATCTCCTACTTAGGGATTTGCATTTTCCATGGTAGGTAACCTCTCTTTTTCTCCTTGTTTTTTCTTCTCCTGAACTTTCCAGGTAAAAGTACTCCTGTAAACCAGCTCGGGTCTGCAGATTTTACCAAGCCCCATGATCCATTCCAGCCATTTGGGGCTGAAAGCAGTGACCCGTTTCAAACTAAAAAGGGGTTTGGGGACCCGTTTAGTGGAAAAGATCCATTTGCTCCCTCCTCTTCAAGTAAAACTTCTAAAGACTCTTCCTTGGGGTTTGCAGACTTCAGCTCTGTAAGTTAATTCATTGTCTCTGAGCAAACCACTTTCTGCTCTGCTTGCCGCAAACTTAGTTTTTTTGTTTTAATTGCAAACCTACTGTCCACTGGCTTCTGTCTTAATACCTTCATGCTGTCCCCATTGTAGTTCTGTATTAATATTTCTGTATAAAAAGGCATTTTCTCTCAATAATAAAGGAGTTTTGAGTTTGATATTCAATTTTAAAAGGGTTTGTTTTCTTTTAAATTATTTTAGTACAGTGTGCCTTTACTCTCAAGATATTTGTAGCAGAATCTGTGTACTGTTTTTGTTGCATGGAGGCTGTTTTGTAATTGATTTTTGGAAGCCAGGATGTAAAAATTCCTCAGAAATAATTAGCAACAGAGGGTCCTGTGGCACCTTTAAGACTAACAGAAGTATTGGGAGCATAAGCTTTCGTGGGTAAGAACCTCACTTCTTCAGATGCAAGTAATGGAAATCTCCAGAGGCAGGTATAAATCAGTATGGAGATAACGAGGTTAGTTCAGAAATAATTGTTGAAAGACATTTATATAGCAGTTTCACCATATCCTGAAAAGTAAATCCTTAAAACAAAGGGTTCCATATAGTATTTGTAACTGTTTGTGAAAAAGTTCTGACAATCCTGTCACAATGTTTTCTCTATATGCACTGGAATATGAATCATAAAGAGACATATACGAGAGAGAGAGTGAAAATTATTAGTTGTTGAATTTTGTTTCAATTACTGATTATGTATTTCATGATAAATGCAAAGTAATGCACATTAGAAAGCATAATCCCAACTATACATATAAAATGATGGGGTCTAAATTAGCTGTTACCTCTCAAGAAGGAGATCTTGGAGTCGTGGATAGTTCTCTGAAAACATCCACTCAGTGTGCAGCGGCAGTCAAAAAAGCAAACAGAATGCTGGGAATAATTAAGAAAGGGATAGATAATAGGACAGAAAATATGTTGCTTCTGTATAAATCCATGGTACGCCCACATCTCGAATACTATGTGCAGATGTGTTTGCCCCATCTCAAAAAAAGATGTATTGGAATTGGAAAAGGTTCAGAAAAGGGCAACAAAAATGATTAGGGGTATGGAACGGCTTCCGTATGAGGAGAGATTAATAAGACTTTTCAGCTTGAAAAAGAGACACCTAAGGGGAGATATGATTGAGGTCTATAAAATCATGACTAGTGTAGAGAAAGTAGATAAGGAAGTGTTGTTTACTACTTCTCATAACACAAGAACTAGGGGTCAACAAATGAAATTAATAGGCAGCAGGTTTAAAACAAATAAAAGGAAGTATTTCTTCACACAGCACTCAGTCAACCTGTGGAACTCCTTGCCAGAGGATGTTGTGAAGGCCAAGACCATAACAGAGTTCAAAAAAGAACTAGATAAATTCATGGAGGATAGATCTATCAATGGCTATTAGCCAGGATGGGCAGGAATGGTGTCCCTAGCCTCTGTTTGCCAGAAACTGGGAATGAGTGACAGGGGATGGATCACTTGATGATTACCTGTTCTGTTCATTCCCTCTGGGGCACCTGGTGCTGGCCACTGTCGGAAGACAGGATACTGGGCTAGATGGATGTTTGGTTTGACCAAGTAGGGCCATTCTTATGTAGAGAAGCCCTTGTTAGACAAAGCAAACGAAGGTCTGTTTTGTAGAACCAGTATATTAACATCCATATTGCACCCCATTAGAAAAGATCAGAAGGTCTTACAGCAAAGCCAAGTGCCTTTCCTGGAGTAAGTACCAGGTTTTCAAAAAGCCTGACTTTGTTTCTAGTGTTGGCAGATACACTTACAATGATTTCAAATGTAGTATTAGAATGGCTGTTCTAAATGCTACCGGTGGTGAATAGAAAATATGTTCCACACAAAGCCTCCAGCTTCTTTTTTCTTTCATGTGTTTAAGTTTTTTGTTCTGGGTTGCATTGCCACACAATAAAATTACCAACTCAATCTATTCTTTTAAATCTGGTGGGCGTATTTCACTGTTAAGTAGGTGTTTGGTTTTTATTTAAAAAGTTTTGTCTCAAGTGGTATTAATTTTAAACAGTTTTCCCCAGTATTTCAATTCACAGTAAAATGCATATCATTCTCCTACCTGATATATGTTTAGCTGAGGTCCTCTGTGCATATTTTTTTAGTTGCCCTCAATTCTTTAGTTATTTGAAAATATCAAAGCTCAAAATATTATTAAACTTTACTATAATTAGCAAAAATCTGTTGAAAGTTGGTACACAGTTAAATTCTGTGACAGTATACAAAATGGTGACATAATAAAAGTCAGACACAGAGCTTGCATTATCTGCAGTTTTTTTTGAATGGTTCTTAGTTTCTGTTTTTGGGAACAAGGATGTAATGTCTAAGCATAAAAATGGAATGACTGTTACCCAACAGTGATTATTGTATTGACAGAGTACAAATATTTCTTAGTTGTCAGGCTTGAGTAAGTCATCAGTGATTTATACCAAATGATTAACCAGTGTCATTTGTTCCATTTAAGTTTGTGTTTATGCCCCTGTGCCATCAGGGTTGTAAGAGATAGGATCAACTTTGGAAAGTAGAAAAAATAGGATCTGAAAAACCATTTATCATTTAGCTGGTCATAGCTTAGGTTAACTCTTGTAGCTGGACAGAATTTAGTCAGACGAAACAAATTTAAGCTTGCATTTGTAAATGCTCTCTATTGCCCTGAGAAATCTCTTCACTAAGTGCTCCTTTAAAAAGAGAGGTTTATTTGTTTCCCTGTTCTATTCAACATTATTTTCTTTCTGGTTGTGTACAACACAGGATCACGTTAACACACTTAGTAATGCTTCATCTCTTGCTTTGTGAAGTCATAAGTAACCCAGATATCTCATAAACCAGGGAAAGGATTGTGCTTATCTGTTGGTCGGAGGATCCTCTTCTCAATTATGAAAATTCCAAACAATTCCATTTACAGTATGTTTTCTGACATGAAGTGTGGAGCTGTAGGATCTGCAATTGCCATGTTGATTAGCTGGAATTCTTCATGATTACAAGCAAAGAGAAGCTGGGGATTTCCTTTAGTTTTTTAATTGTTATTCTAGTGTTGTTGTTTGAATTACTGAGTTGTTCTTATCCATTGGATTTAATGAGTGTGATTCCATTGCATTCTTGACTTTTGGATTGTCATAAAACGTGAGTCTTGGGAGCTGACAAAACATTTTGTTAGTTCGTTTTTCAGATATTTTGCAAAATTCCAATCATCTTACAATCAACAGAAAAAGACAAGCCAGGTGAGGCTTCTTTTGGTGGAAGGGAAAACTTGTCCCTTCCACCAACAGAAGCTGGTCAAAGGGACAATCTTTCCCTGTCACCAAAAGAAGTTTGTCCGATAAAAGATATTCCCTCACTTACTTTATGTGTGTCATATCTTGGAACCAACACGGCTACAACACCACTGCAAACAATTGATAGCATGTTTTCATTTTCAAGGAACAGAGCATTCAGAACTAAGCTCAAAGATTGCTCTTTATTCAATGCATATGGAGTTTTGTCACATATTAGACATATTTTTCCTGCAGATGATTTGTCTTCCCTTTACTTATACTAGGCCATTAATGTACTTGTTCTAATATTTTGAAAAATATATCAATACTTTATTATTTGAGTGGTGTTTTCAGATACCTTGTGATAATGCATATTAAATCTTCGTGTGAGAACTTTCTTTCAACATTAGCTTTTGTTGAAAACTGGACAGCAATAATAATGTTATACTGATTTATTTTTAGCTCAGTAAAACGGATTTTTATGGGCAATCTGCACATAAAACAGTGATGATATTGAATTGTTAGGTTATACGTTCCACCACTGAACATTTAAGGTTCATTTAGACAGACTTGAACTTTCAGATCCATGTGACTTGAGTATTTAAGAAGTACAATCAAAATTTGAGTGAGCGACAGGGAATGGATCACTTGATGATTACCTGTTCTGTTCATTCTCCCTGGGGCACCTGGCATTGGCCACTGTCAGAAGACAGGATACTGGGCTAGATGGACCTTTGGTCTGACCCAGTATGGCTGTTCTTATGTTGTTTAAATTCTAAAAACAATAACTTCTTTTAATCTGGTGGTGATTATAAATTATACTTACATAATAAATAGGGATCTTTATGTTGATACAAAAGTATGCTTTTGAAATGATATGTTTGATCATGCTAGCACTTTATGATAAGGTAAAAATGTCAATCAAGCATCAAGAGTTCCACACTTGTCAGAAATCCAGATTTGCTTTGTCTTGAATCCACTTCACTCTTTTAGTAAGCTTTTCTAACCACACACCATGATTTCAGATATGTATGAAATAAACATGTTTGTTTTTAGAAAAGTCTTTAGAAATTATGCATCTTATCCTAAGGAATGAACACCACTGGTAAACTTATTTTTTCAACATTTTGAAAAAGTATCTGAGACCAAAAGTGATTAGCTGAAGTTCATTATATCTCTAAAACTTTTATAGTAACAATAATTTCACCCTAACTCCGATCCCTAGGATTTTCTTATGAATGTTAGGAAACTTTGGTGAAATTCTGGCCCCACGTAGTTTGACTTCATTGTGGCCAGGGTTTCACTCATTGTCTTGAAAATCATATATTTACAATTTAGTGAGCTTTTAAGCCTTACTTATCAACTCTTCAGTGAAATAAATTATAGTAGGAATGGACTGCGTTTCTTGGTTTCAAAAGTCAAGTTTCTAAGATGCAATGCGCTTGTATTACTAGCTTTGGTTTCATGACATTAGTTTTTTAGCAGTAATAGCAGGAAGAACTGCCAAGAGCCAGGATAACATAAAGATAAAATACAGTGTAACTAAAAAGATCAGAGAATTGGACATAGATTACATTTCTTGCAGGTCCAAATTAATAATGTGAATCTTATATGTTTGTTTAAAAATAATATGAAGCATGGATATAGTGTGTAATGGACAGGTAGATTCTTGGGAAAATGTACTCGAGACATATAATAAACTAGATAAGTGCATATTTATTATTTAACGTTAAGCATATGCTTTCCTGAATTGAGGCCTGTATGGATAAGACAAAGTTTGTAATGGATGCTGTAGCAAAATAAGTCAGTGCAACTATGTATTGTGCTGCATTCAAAGATATGTCTTGTCTTATGGACCAGGGAGGTGGTATTCACAGTTTATACAGATATGATTCAACCAAAGGTGAAATTTAGAATTCTATGCACTGCTTTTCCCTTCTAACAAATCAAAATATTAAATTTTTCTGAACATTCAAATAAGTATCAGAGCAATTTTTTAAACAGTGGAAATAATACAAAACTAAGGACTAGTTTTGCAAATACTTACAATGCGGCAAACACTTGTGTGCGTGTTTGCTGGACAGTGCGCCTTTAAAGAATAAACAGTAAAAACTAATCACTGATTTTATTTAAAAGTAAAATAAAATGTTATTTTGATAAGAAAATAATATTTCTCACATTTTATACAAAATCCAATGCAATCAGTTTTTAATGTCCACTTCTTTAATATGTGAAACTCTGTGTAATATTAGGGATGATTATTATTGGAATAATTTTGCACATTGCTTCCATGTACTGAAATTATTTGATAATATTAAAAAAAGATATAAGATGAATATTAAAATGTATTTTATTTCTTTAGTGTTTGTTGCAAAATTCATTTGGATTCTGTTATATTGTTTGCTACTGTACTGCCTGAAAAACTCTGCATTTATTTTATAGACAATTGCAAAAGCAGAATTTTACTTTTGATCGGATGGTGAAACTTCCCACAAATCTGCAGTCTCCAGGTTCATTATTAACATGTATCACCATTTACAGAAAACACTTCACAGTGTAGTGGCATATCAGTAAATAGCTTCCAATTTTTGTGAGCTTGAGGCTAACATCATTATGCATCTTTAGTATGGATGTAGGCTGCTACACCCTCAAACTCTTCCAAGTAATTTTGCCCATTGATGTAGAGTTCCTCTCTCTCCCCAGATCTTCTGGTCACTTTCTTGTATGCATTTGGGACCTGGATTCAGGCAGGATAACATCCACATGAAAAGTTTATGCCTTGGGTGGGAGGAGGAAGGTATTAAGTAAAAAGATCAGTGAATGGAGTGGGGAAACCAATGAGTTTATTTCTGGTTTCAACCTAAAAGTGATAGCCTTATACATCTTGTTACTTGATGCACATTTCTTAATGATTTAGATCTACTGCATGTTGCATACTTATTCTGCTGTCTTATTGTATATTTCTTTTGTTTATTAACCAAGTTTCCATTTTTATTTTTTAGTTTGGAAATGAGGAGCAGCAGCTGGCCTGGGCAAAGCGAGAGAGTGAGAAAGCAGAGCAGGAGAGGCTGGCTCGATTGCGAAGACAAGAACAGGAAGACCTTGAATTGGCTATTGCACTTAGTAAGGCTGATATGCCAGACTCTTAAATACAGTCTTTGGGCTCCATCCAATCCAAGTCAAACCATTTAAAAAAAGGTTTTGTAAAATTCTTGGTTTATGTTGTGAAGTAATTGTAGTCACCTTTAAGTCAAAGCATAACAAGATTGGCTGGTTATATCAAACTGGGCTCTCCATGGCTTTTCAAGTACATAATGCACAGGAAACACACTGTAAAAATTGTATTATACTTCCTAGATAAAAGTTACTGCTTGTAAGAAATTTAATGTATGACCCTAAGGTACTGAAAGCAAAGTTTCTTTATAATGCAGACAGTGATTGCATACAATAAGCTGCAATTGTGAATCTGGCTTTTATTACCTGAATTCCATTGTCATTGTTTTGAGGCTGCAGTATGAATAATAAAATTATAGAAAATGACACTTGTAAAAAAAAAAAAGTTATGTTTATAAAATTATCACTTAGCTTTCAGTTCTTTTTGTTACATTTATTTAATTTCTCATAGTAGGCCAATGACCACCTAGCTCAAAGACTTGAGGGCAAATTCTTTCCTAGATGTTCCCCTTTCATCAGTGAGATACGGCTTATCTTATGAAAGAAACTCTGATTATTTATATATTAGATGCATATTGACACAACTCATGTAGAGTCAATCATATTTTGAATTCAAAGCCTATGAGAATTAATAGCTTTTTATTATTTAAACATGATTATTTGCATAAGAGTTTTTTAATATTTGTACATGGTGGTATTAAAAGGAGTGATCCTGATATAGTAAATTAGACAAATTATAGTAAATTAGACAAATGATGACTCAGTTCTAAATCATGGGATAAAATACAAATTAATTCCATGAATGAGCATTAAGACAGGAATTATCGTGTTTGAGGCTTTTTTTACATAATGTTGAATAATTTCATACTTTTTAAATTTTAATTTTGAACTGTAATCTTCCCTGCAACCGTATTTTCCCTTCATTTGCTCTAACAGGCAGAATATAGGGCTGCTATTTGTATTATCCAATTGACTATGTTACAATCTCTACCTCGGAAGTGATTAAGTGTGTGGTCTTATTTTTAAATATTCTGGTTGATGATTAATCTCACTGCCCTTCATTTAAAGTTATACAACAGTTGTATAGACTAGAAAGTTTTTTATTTTAAACTAGCCCAAGTTCACACAGATTTCATTTGCCAGATAGATCGAATAAATGGATATTCATGCAAAAGTTACAGCAATATTTGTAGAACAGAGAGGCTTTAAAAAAACAGCCTATCTACTGATAGCACTAATGAGGCCAGTATGTCTAGCTTTTTTATACACTTCCAGAATTCAGGGGGGATGTTACATGTATTTTATAGAGGTAATGCAATATGTATTTTACTTGTCACGGATATAAAATGAGTACTTACGGTATTTTTTTGCTGTGAATTATTCATTTATAGAAACTGCCTTTTCTGGTAATATACAGGAATTCAGTACTTCATTTGTCCTTGCCTTGTGCTCTGGTTTTGTTTGTAAATGGAATGGGCATTTAGGGCCAAATTTTCAAAATGTTCTTTGTGATACCTGTATTTGCATCCCCAATTCTGTACATGTGCATATTGGCTAGTTAACATTCTGAATGTCCAAAATGTAGCCCTCAGCTTGTAAAACATTCTCTGTTGGATAGCATTGAATTATTTCTTCATCTTCTGCAATGTATTTACATTTTTGTGTGTCCCTGTTTTGTTTTTATTTTTCCTTTCACAATGATGTTAGTGCCTGTTTTTCCAGTCAAACAATCCCTACATTCTAATTGCCTCATTCTGGATACTTTCCTTTCACAGAGATAAGAATCCCAGTAGGGATTATTTTTTCTGATGACTAGTTTTCAGACCTAGAAATGTAATTAAACATTGGTTGTCTTAGGACAATGCTGCATTCGCATTGAAAATCGACTCTAAATTGAGAACATCCATTTTAAGGTCTTCAGACAGAATATATTTGACAAAACTGAAGCTCATCATCTCAGAAGACATTCTACAGAGTTGCTGATCCCTGTGTGTATAACTCCTGTTTAATGTTATTACAAATGCTATGGGCTTTTAAATTTGTATCAGGACGGGAGAAGAGACCCTTAAATATTAACAAAACATATATGTTTCTGTGTTGTCCTTTATTGAAGTAACAAGCTGCCATGAATACTGTAGGAAATAATCCTGCCATACTTACAGTACTTGATGACCTATGTGGTCCCTTCCAACCATAACTGTTTTTCTGCAAAGTATATTATGGAGAATTTATGGGCTTGTCTACATGGTAGTATAATGCACTCTAGGTGGGTGTGATTTCTAAATCACACTAATGTGTTATGCATTAGTTGGTCCACGTTGACCCCTAGTGTGAATTAACACAGTACTGGGTCAAAAAGCACTATGTTAATGAACATTCACATAGTGCTATTTGAACCAGTGCTGCACTAGCCAGATCTACATGGACCAATTAGTGTGCAACATATTACGGACGTGTGATTTCTAAAGCACATTAGAGCGCATTACCTCTTTGGTCCACGACACTGAGCTCATGAAAGCAAATTAGGTCTACTTGTAGCTAACATCAATACAAAGCTTTTACCATTAAATGGGGGTGAATGTAGCATATATTTACATGGCAGGGCTATAGATGTCATCCTAACTATATAGACAGATCAAATCAGAAACAGCTGTATGAGACAGTATGTGCCTTTTCTCAATCCACCTTGTACTACAGTCACATTGCTTCAGAGAGATAGTTGCCCTTTGTTCTTTGAGCTGTTGTTGCAGTTTTGTTATTTTATTTAGTCTTCTCTTGTATTTTTTCTGTCTTGTGTACATATATATTTTGCATTTGTCTTGGTATCTCTTACACATCTAGCTCTTCGTTGAAAAAATAGGCTATTAGGATGCATGATGAAATTAAAAAAACTGTATCTATGCATATAAAGCTTTTAGATTTTTTTTTCTTTTCATTTTCAGTAACTGTTCCTACTTTGTAGGATATTTCATTCCTCATGCAGCTGAAAAATCTCGTGCTGTTTCAAAGCAACTGCAATATCCAAGTCCCCTTCCGAAGTGTAGTGTGAACACAGGGGTCATTCCTTTGATTTTACAGCCACATTAGGACACCGCTCTTCTCCCTTTACAGCTAATAGATTTGATTTTTATTGTGAATGCTGCTTTTATAGTAATTTCCTCTTTCATCTCTCCCCCAATGTATTGTGTCAATTGCACTCACCTCTGACTGCAGGGTCAAGCCACCTTCTCCAAGTTGGCAGTGCCATTCCATAACCTATCCTTAGGAGGTGCACTTTCCGCCCCCGCAGCCCAGGGAGTAAAAGCATTACTTCTGGAATACACCAGGCCTGAGGTGTGAAAGTTACAAGATTGCATTCAAGCTTGAGTTTCTGTGTGGAAAAGTGTGGGGGCCGGGGGAGTAACATAATTTGTTTCTCTTCTGCTCAAATTAAACAGCATCTTTAAACCAATGTATAAAGGAATTCTACTTCTGGATCTCCGCACACAAATGGGGCATGTGGATGAGCTAAAGTGCCTGATTACTCAGAAAATTAATGTGCCATAGAAAGAATTTCAGCCACTTTATCAAATCTCTGAAATCTCTAATATAATTGTGTTACTTCTGTGATATGCAGTTAGAATGATATTACCTCACCCACCTTGTTTCTCTTACTTCTATGATAGTTAATGTTTTTGGGACACAGTATGAGGTCAGAAAAGTTAATTTATCTAATATATATATTTAGTATTATATCCAAGTATAAACTTTGATTGTCCCTTCTGGGGTCTCGCCTTGTGTGACCAAATATTGAGAATGAGTCAGTAGCAAAAGGTCAAGCAAATTAACCAATCAGGAATCCAAGAAAATACGTAGTTAATCCATTTACAATTGCAAACATGCAATAACCCTAAACTGTTCTGAGATGGCTTTAATTTGGGAAGAGAACGGATAAATTTTAGAAAGCTGAAGTCTAGGAAACTTCCCTCTGATTTCTTTCTGTAATATCTAAGTTTCTCCTTGTAGAAAGCAGTCGACTTCATTCTTCCCTAACCTTGGAAGCAACATTTTTTATAGAAATTACTCCACTTTTTCTCCTAAAGCAAAAATTTATCTTAACACATTAATCTTTCCTTCTTCCACCAAACATTGAAATCTTAACCACAGATTCACTTCAGTTTGGGCAGATCAGTGGGCGCGCACCCAAAAATAAGGTACATCTGTATGTAAATATACAATAAGTTATATAACAAAGACTGTGTATACGTTCACACAAACTGTATGTAGTATATAATTATATGTGCTCTATAAAGTGCATATGCAGTAAATATATAGTATATTACTATATACTGTAAAAATGTGTATATATGTCTATATGCATTATGTGCATTTTTTGTATAGAAATGGGAAATGAGACTTTTGTGGTTAGAATTTCAAAGTTCTGGCAAAAGAAAAAAAACTTCTTCCAAACATTTTGTTCAATAATACTGTTATTGGCACAACTAGCTGTGTGTTTTGCCAGATGTCAGAGACACCTGAAGGATTTGTCTCTCAAAGGTGAGTACAATCTGCCAAAGAAACGTTTGACAATGTGGTTTGGATATTATCACCTTTTGTCCACTTGCACTTGCTGTCCATTTCCGGTCTGCTGGCATGTGTCTGTGTTGGGGGCATCTCCTTCCCTTCTCTCAGAGTTAGACAAAACTTTGCCTCCTAGTTTATTGTTGAATATTTTATTGTTGAATTAAAGAATCTTTCACATATCTTCATATTTGGATGTTAGGTAGAAATGTGGTAAAAGATGCCGTTTTCCTCAATCTCTTGTCTGTCATTTTGGTTGCACAGTCACTCTTCTCTGGGTTCGAACTGTGTTTTGTTTGTTTCTCAGTTTCTACCTACATTTTTGCCTTAGGAGATGTGACTATGCATTGCATTAATGAAAGAATTAAGATGATTCAGTTTTCTACAGGGAGAAATCATTAGACCACAGAATGTAAAACAATCACAAAGAAGGTGCTAGGTTCTATAGTAGCATGTGTGTATTTAGTATATACATCTGCATTTATGAAGTGCAGTCACTGCTGGGATGACTCATGGCAACCATTGATTACCCCACAGCAACAATACACTGCATTTCAGACAGAAATGGAAGAAGACTTTTATCCAGTTGAAACTAGGCTTTTACAAAATATTCTTGTAGGGTCTGCCAACCATTCTACCATAGGAACAGATCATATTAAGGGATGTACTGGTACTTCTGTACTTTTGTATGAGACTTCATATGATCAGCATAGTTTTCCTTATGAAACCTCTGGCCTAATTATTTTTAAGTGGGGTAAGTGATCAGTCTGTAATGTATTTTGTTTTATATAGTGTGTTCTTAAATGCAAGGAAATTCCAAGCTTTTTCTGTTAAAGTATGGCACTTTTTTTTCTTTCTGGTCTATGTGAAATCCTATTGGTAGACACCTTGTCATCACTTCAGCTTTGCTAAAAGACATTGTATTTTTCTAGGGTTCTTCTTGTAACCCTTTTGGGGTTTACCATTTTATTTTTGTAATACTTCTCCATATTTGTCCTGAAGATTCAGCACTTATGGAATTTTGGTCTGTGTGTTAGGAATCATCATTTCCGCCATGTATAAGGATCATTCCTATTTTCCATTTGTCTTTATTCCCGACTCTCAGAAAATGCATTTCTATTTAATTCCAATGTTCCAAAATAAGTTCCATCAAACAGATGTTTTGTTTTGATCTGTGCTAATAGATTGTGTACTTATAAATGCATTGACCTGTCCCAGATGCAATTAAATTACCAAACAGTAATAGTTAAATCTCTATGGTCCAGCATTTACACCTTTTCTGCAGACCCCCCATTCACAATCAAATCCATTTACTTTTTCTTAGTAAGGAAATTTTGTCACAAACTCTGCTTTGAACATGATGGAAACGTTAAGGGTTTTTTAGGATGAACAAGTTAACTTTTAATAATTGTTGACATATGTTTTATCAATTGTTATTTTATGGTTCTTTTTACTTGAAAGATTTATAAATAAAAGGCTGAATTGTTATAAATGCCTCAGTCATTTAAAATAGAATTTTCATTTTTTTCAACTTCTGCTTTTCCCTTTAAAACTAAATAACTTTAAAAGGGAAACATAAATGGTTCCTTCTGCTGTTAGTATAATGACAGTGATATGTTCCTTAATGTCCCTCTTAATATGACTTTGTTTAGTCTGATGGAAGTTACAGGTTAAGAAGGTGAAAACATAAAGTGGAAACTGCAGCATTTACCAGAAATTCACTAGTCTATCCAAATATGTACATTACTGTAATTATATATATCCTTTAAATATCATATAACAAATTGGGAAAAGGTGTTTTAATTTTAACCTATGCCATGTGTTTATTGTTTAATATAAGAAGAGAAATGTTATTGTTTAATATAATAAATGAAAGTACTTTTTTTTTTTTTGAGTTCTGCGTCCCTGATTTCACAAACTATCTTGGGTCAGATTTGTGAATCTTGTTTAGAATTACATTTTTAGGTTGTATATTTTTTTCTGGTTGTTGGCCTGTCCACACTATTTCCCCTCTCTCCCCAAAACCACACTTGGTACATACCATCCAGTCCCAAGATCTTATACCACACCTTCAACAAAAACTATGTCCCTTCCAGGGAATTAGCATAGGGAGGAGTTATGAGAGCATTGTAGGCAGCCCCTTACACTGAAGTGTGTTTGTCCACTGGCCTGAAAGAGGATTAATCCTTTTGATTCTGACTCCTTATTTCTGCCATATGCTTGTTTCATTTACTCTGTCTGTACATAGTGGTGTGTTAACAATAGAGTACCATTTCAGGTCCCATCTGTTATTCTTGAAACTACTCCCCAGAAATATATTTAGCTTTCTAATTTTATTGAAGCCAAGATTTTGTCTTAGTTTCAATGTCCTTAGCTGGTTTAACTAATTCCCTATCCTCCCCACTATACATCCCCTCATCCTGTAATGCCCCCTCTTAATCTTACAGGCATGGGGCCCAGATCTCTCTCTTCCTTCCATTTAATTATTTGGACTATGAAGTACAGTGTAGTCAAGTACACTTCAAATCATATTATATGCCCCAAACTCCATTGCATCAGGGCATGAACAATCTAATAGGATGTGCTGTACCAGTGATCCCGTACAGAGACATCTAGGTCTTTTGTTTCTTTACATAAAGGAGTGAGGAAGAGGGCTGTCAGGAAGTGAGGGGGAAAGATAAGTGGGACACTACGTGTAAAAAAAACCCCGAGCTACCTACCAGCTCCCAAAACTTAATAAAAAAACACACCACAATCTGATTGCCCACCCCCCCCAAACACAACCTAACACTATGGTGTATTGTGTGTGGAAGGTCCTATACTGATTTGCCACTGATCCTAACCCTAGTTGGTGTCCAGTAGTTTTTAGTGGTTGCAAGCCACACTAACCCTTCTTCCTCCCAGCATATACCAAAGTGATAGTACAGCTGCAGTGCATGGATGACAGAGGAGTCTGTTAGAAGACAGTCACTGAGCATCCGGGCCAATAGACATTGTTCTGAGTCAATCACTTCAAAGCAAAATGTTTGCAACCACTCCCTCTGTGCTAGTCACCATCTTCATGGCAAATGATATGGAAGGTAAACAAATTAATGTTTGTTGAATAAGAAATTAAGGGCATTCATACTTTTGATGCAGCTTCAGTGTTTATGGAAATAGTTTAGTGCAATCCAAAGACGCAGGAACAATTTTAAATCCTGACCACATCTGGCATTCGAGGACTGCAGAGGCTGTAGCCTTTCCTGATGATGTGCTCCCTCAATTTTGTCTTTCAGCTGCTTCTGACCACATATTAATAGAAAGAGCCCATACACTGGAGCAGTAAACATCCCTTGTTTTAGGAATAATCCCTTGACTCTTGGAAATGGTTTCTGCACCCAGCTTCATCTCTTCAGTGAATGAGACTGTCAGTGATTCTAGGAATGCTTTGACTTTTTTTTTTATATAGGTACAATAGAACACCAGAGTTACGAACCACACACTTCATTTGGAACTGGAAGTATGAAATCAGGCAGCAGAGACAAAACAAAACAAAAAAAATACTGTACAGTACTGTGTTTAAATGTAAACTACTAAATATAAAGGGAAAGTTTAAAAAAAGATTTGAGAAGGTCAGGAAACTGTTTCTGTGCTTCCTTCATTTAAATTAAGCTGATTAAATGCATTTTTCTTCTGCATAGTACAGTTTCAAAGCTGTATTAAGTCAATGTTCAGTTGTAAACTTTTGAAAGAACCACCATAACATTTTGCTCAGAATTACAAACATTTCAGAGTTAATACCAACCTCCATTCCTGAGGTATCCGTAACTCTGAGGCTCTTCTGCAGATCAATAAATTAAACAATGATTTTCTGGTCTTCTGAAGCTACTCAGCAATGAGTATCCCACTTCCCTTGGTTTGAGGTGTGTGTATATAAAAACATAGACTTATGAAAAATAACTTGTAATTTATACCAGCATCATGCATCTGTGCTAAAATAGTCTGTGGAACAGGGCCGGCTTCAGGTACCAGCCCTCCAAGCATGTGCTTGGGGCGGCACCTGGAGGGGGGAGGTGCTCACCCGGGGAAAGTGGGGCCGCGGCCGGGCTTGCCGCCCTCCCCCCCAGTGCTCCGGTCGGCCGGGAAGAGCGGGGACGCTCTCCCCCGGCACTCCAGCCGGTCGGGGAGAGCGGGGCCCCGGCTGGGCTCGCCACCCTCCCCCCAGCACTCCGGTCGCCAGGGAGAGTGGAGCCGCGGCGGGCTTGCTGCCCTCCCCCGGTGCTCCAGCCAGCCAGGGAGAGCAGGGCCGGGGCCACGGCCGGGCTCGGCGCCCTCCCCTGCCGCTTCCCTGCCGGGGGGCAGCGAAAGGCTTTTTTGCCTGGGGCGGCAAAAAAGCCAGAGCCGGCCCTGCTGTGGAAAACCTTCAAGGTGCAACAATTTCTTTACATTTACCAAGAATGTCCCAGGGAGTACTCAGTCTTCTCTTACAGATGTTTCCTGATGATCTAGTGATAGGTCAAACCCTCTAGGAACACTCTGAAGTGTAAGAACAGAACTGCAAGAGTATACTGTGAAGCCCACTTAAAGGGATACCACATCTAAGCATAAATCCGCCAGAAAGATCAATGTCTTCAGCAGCAATCTCTACATGTATTGGATTCATGGTCAGGCCAATTAATACCATGTTTTAATTTGCAAACAAATGATGGCTGAAGCAGGTAAATAAATAAATAACAACCGAGGTTTTTGTCCAGATATTGCTATTTTGTCACATACTTTTCAAATTAATTTCTGATTAAAAAAAACCCTTTAGGAGGTAGACAAATGAGTAAGTACTACACTAAGTGTCCTGAAGTGCTCAGTGGCTGTGGTTCCCATTGATTTCAGTTAACGGTGTGAGTGCTCAGACCCTCTGAAAATCAGGCTGCTGATGCAGGTATCCAAATAGGGACTTAGGTACCTAACTGGAGGCACCCAGCTTTTTACATGTTTTTGCCTTATTCTATTAAATAAATAAGCCATGTAAAAGGTATATCCATTCAATATGCATTTAACCTCGATCCCCTGAAAGATGTCAATGATGGTCTATTCAAATACAGGGCCTCCACACAAACTGCGTTCTCGCTCGTGGCTCTTAGGCATTTGTACAGTAGCCATCACTATTACCAAGGCACCAGCTGTCACATAAAACTTGATTGGTGGAGGGAATATGACGCATCTGCTTTTTGAGACTCCATGGAAAGTCCTAGCTGCCTTTTTCCAGTGGATGGGGGAGTGATCTTGTATTCCTGCATATTTCATACTGGTGTCCCGCACAAAGCACAAGAACTATTTCCACCAATCAACAGGCATAACAGAACAGGGGAGGCAACTCAAATGTTTAGCAAGACTCTTCAGTCACTCTTGGGCCTTGTGGAGCAAATCCTGCTAAGGAAGCAATTGGGTAAGATGTCCATTGCCATTAATAAATTGCTAAATCTGTTAAATTACACTCGAAGTTCTTCTATTTGATGTGTATTGTGTGCTCTGAAAAACAAGCAACACTGTGGCTAGAAGTAGTGAGAGAGCATAGGGAGCTGCAGTCAGTATTACTAAGCCGAATATCCCATGCTGCACAGCCGCTGGGGACACACCTTCAGCTGAAAGACTGCAAAGGGGAGTGAGTGGGAACTGGTCTGACAGGGACAGACAGGGCACAAAGAGATGCAGACAGAAGTTTTTCCAACAGCACTACAGATATAGTATTGTTTTTTTGGGGACATTGGCATTCCAGACCATGACAAAGAATAGCTATTGAAGGAAGATGCTCTAGGCAGCTATCTTGACTCTGAAGCAAGTGGGTCACCCAGTTGGGCTGCTGTGAAAGCCTCACAGTGAAGCACCACTTTACTTTTTCTGCACAATCCCTTTCCCTTACAATGCAGATCTTCAGAGGGAGGTGGGAAAGGAATGGCCTCACCAAAAAGCTGTTTGGCTGCTTTAATATTTTTATACTTTTTATGTTGTTTTAGATAAGTGCACTATTAAATTAATATCTAATCACTTTATTTTGGGCTGTCAGTAAGCAACCTCCAAAACCTCACAATGTAAGAAAATTCTGATTCAAGGAATGGTCACATGCTTAATTAAAGCTGCAGAAAGTGTCTGTGCTACTAGCTTTCTGTGTAAAAGTCTCTTTTGGTCTAATATAATAGTAGGGATTTGGATGGGTAGCTACCAGAGTTGAAGGTGAAAGGCTGAAGTTGTGCTAGTTCCTGGGCACTTTTAATTTATAAAATAAGCAATAGGCACCAATAACAGATGGTAGATAAATAAACTTGCAGAATGCATAAAACCTCAATTGGCCCCAATGCCACAGCAGGTGGGGAGATGCTGTAAGTGAACATACAGACTTCATTCTGTAAAGCTGGGCACATGACTCATTTTGAGTCCACATAAAATATTGTTAGATCAAATAATTGTGGCTGAAACTCACACCATGAGAGATTAAATCAAACCTGTTTCCTGCACATCGAGTTTAGGATAAATCCCCACCCCCTACCTCTCTGCACCTCAAACTGAGGATAGTGTGAGCAGACAAATCCATTTTCAGATGCTCTACACACCCTCAGCCACCATGACTGCATACCACCCTGTAGAGTCTCTCAGGAGCCCTTTTATACCACCTTCCCAATTTTGTATAGCAGAGGGTGGAGAAAGCAAGAAGTATATCCACTTCATTGTGGTACTGTTCTATCTGGCCTAATGGGCGTAGGGGTGGCCAGATATGAGAACCCAGTCCCAGGTGCTCACAGGCCTAGTGAAGGCCAAGGCGTGTGTTTTCCTCCTCTTATTAAGGCTTATTGTCCAGCATAGATGAGAGGGATGGCTGCTCCTGCTCCCTTTCCTCCATGCCTCAGCTACTCCCCTGCCCTAGAATCTCTAGGAGGACCAGAGAATAGCAGATAAAGTGCAATGAGAGCATGCAGGGAACTGTCAATAGGCACACCACCCCTTGCTGTAATGAGTGAGGATGGGGACAGCCCATTTCATCAAGCGCATGCAGGGACAGGTGAGAAATATATGAGGAAGGGTTCTTGGTGCCATAGATGGGGAAAAGGGATGCATGGACATAGGGAGGAGGCACCTGGACAAGGTCAGTGTCACATATGGGAAAGGGACCACATGCAGCAATAAAGGTGTGACACAGGGGGGCTGTGAAGCGATTTCACTTCATTCCCTGGTTCCGGTCACCTGACCTGGATAAGGTTCCAATGGTTAGTGCCCTGTTACATGGGCGGGGTCAGTAGCTCTTAGTATGTGGATTATTGTTACATATACTGCAGCTTTGGGCAAGAGTTCGGAGAGTGCCACATGGGTAAAGGGCACACAGGGAATATCCTAAAGAGAAAGAAAGAGAGGAGATGCCCTTAGGACCTATCCAGTGGACAGATGGAAGTAAACAAATGGGCCTGTCATGTCTGCTGAGGAAGAAAATGGGGGAAAGGTTTGCTGGGAATGTGCCTGCCAGCCTTCCCTAAAGACACCACAGGATGAGGAAGCAGGGCACTAGGGCACCCTCCCACCCCCACAAGATGACAATTTTTGGTAGGGAGCACCAGTTCAGGGAATTGGTTGTTTGGGATCAGAAGATCATGGGAATTTGTGGAAACCCCACTCATTGCCACATTGAGCCAGCAGAGTCTAGATCCATGGAAACACATTTTAAATGGTGTCCGTTTTATTTCTAACCGCTTCCTCCTTCTCAAGACTTATGAAAGTGATGTGTTATTGGTGCACAAAATAGTTGTTGAAACCACAAAACTTAACAATCCTATTATTTAAAAAAATGACAAACTATTTTTGGCACTGCTTATGCCTAGAGACTGAATTTCAGCCTGGAACAAATTTGTACAACCCGCTTGTAAACTACTGAAAGTAACCAAGGGTTTATACACTCAGAAATACTAGTAGCCCCATCATTACATGGGGTTGGCTAAAGCCTGAATAGGTGCCCCAAAGTCCCGTGTTTGTTATAAGCTCTCCTTTATTGTTAGAAACTTCCCCAGATTGCTGCAGGATAATCTGGAAGAGCTCCTTTCGATGCTTCTATTTTAGTCTTTAGACCCTTGATTTTAAATTGTTTTGCCTGTTTGGGATAATTGTTTTCACTTTAGTGCTGGAAGTATAGGAGGGCTTTAATAACTGCTTCTCTGGATGGCAGGGAAGCTCTTGTTGCTGTTTCAGCAGCAACAGACTTTGAGGCTAGGATAGTATTTGCTAAAGTCTGAGTTCCCATCATGTGGCTTTAACTGGCACTTCTGAGTTAACAGGTGAGAGAAGACTGTTTTCAATTAAGTGAAACATTGCAGGCTGAAACCAAGCTATTATAACAGTAACTACACTGGAAAATGTCTCATATTCAGAAATGTTAACAGCTAACTGACTTGGGACATTGTGCTGGATCTGTTTGTTTCTAAGCATGCTCTATCTAATCTACTGATCTATCTTGCATTTATAGTGCACTCATCATTGTGGTATCTTTTAAGTGTGTGTGTGAAAATCTTGTTTACAACGGACTCTACATTTCCTCTTAGTAAGTTTGACTAAGACCGATTTTTATTTATGTATTTATAATTATAATAAAATCAGTGATTGCAGGTATTAGCATGCTGGAGGGGATGTGGGAGAGGAATTAACTCTCTCCGGCATGGTTAGTGGTAGGGGGTCTCCCCTGGCCAGGATTCTTGGAAATCAGTACTAGTCATAACCAAGAACATTACTTACAGAAATAAGACGTGACTGTGCTGTTGTTGGGATGGTGTTTTAGCATAAGAGAGCTCCTTCCAACTGAAGAAAGAATTGATGGCTCAAATGACTCATATGGCAAAGCACACAATTGCTGTGCTCTATTCTAGAAGACCCCTCTGGAGGTGCATCAATGGATCCACCAATTTAAAAACATTGCTATCTCGTAAGGATTGTCTGTTAGTCTTAACATAAAGTGGAAGGGAATATAAACAACACTGCTCTTTATTGAGGGAATATCTTGAGACACAGGGACCTGCAATCTCTCAGTAAAGACCACATAGAAACTGTCACAGATGGCAACCATCAGATAGTTCAAATCATAGTGGTCAGGGGGCATTGTTAACGTTTAGTTGGCTCCTACTTTGTAGAGGCCTGTGTATGTATCAGGATGGCTTTGTACAGTCTAACATTTGTTTACATCAAAATGAAAGCTAAAAACATTGTGAACGGTTCACTTTTAAATAACGTATGGTGCATATTAGATGGTTTCTTCATGGACATATTGAACCCCTCCCCACATATGCCACGGAGCAGAGCTCTACAAGGTGTGTGGGTGGAACTGAAAGCGGACTAGTGAGATGGGGAATCCACAGGGGCAAGAGAGAGCAGTGGCTCTGGCTGCTACTCCTCTCCATAAACTGTAGTAGTAGGCATAGCCATGCTGCACAGGCAACCTGGCCAGAGGGAGCTGAAGATATTGCTTCTCAGAGCTTACATGTGGTACAATAAGCCTTGTTCTCGTTCTCTGTACAAGGGTGGGTTTCACCCAGAGAATGTTATTTGGAAGACTGCACCATGTGTAAGATGAGAGATAAAAGAAGGCACAAAAATTGTGAGTCGATGGAGACAAAGGGAGTATTTTAGGAACTAGTTATTATGTTGCAATATATACGAGAACACTCTAAAAAGAACAGGAGTACTTGTGGCACCTTAAAGACTAACAAATTTATTAGAGCATAAGTTTTTGTGGACTACAGCCTACTTCTTCGATGCACTTATGCTCTAATAAATTTGTTAGTCTTTAAGGTGCCACAAGTACTCCTGTTCTTTTTGCTGATACAGACTAACACGGCTGCTACTCTGAAACTCTAAAAAGAGAAATTCTTGAAGTATCCAGTTCAATATGGAAAGATTAGATTAAGATTTGATTTTAAAATTCTGTTCAGGACATTATAAACACCAACAGACACTCTCAGATATGAAATCTTGGCCTATGAGAAAAGAGGAAGAAATACCTAGAACTATTGCAACAACGGGTGTGATAATTTTAGAACATCCTTAAGTCATCCTCACTTTCTGGAATTATATTGAGCAATTGTTTCTGGCAAATAAGTTAGTTTACCTCAAATTTCACTTTGAAAGAGCTGTAAAAGTGAAATGTGGAACTCATTCTTCCATGTCACTGATTAGAAGCCCAAAATACATCTGTTCCACATGAACAAATCCAGACTTTGCTTTCACAGAAGAATAGCTATATTTGCAATGACTTTAAATACATTCCTGTTGATTTCATTCATGTGCAGTATAACTTGTAAAGTCAGAAAAAAAATCCCAACTCTATTTCTTATACTAAAATATCCAAGTGTATACATTTTAGGAAAAACATTTTCATAATACTATACTAATTAATCATTATTATAATTTTACTCCAATAGTGTGAAATCCTAGCTCTAAAAAGTAAAAATGAAGTATATCCACTATAAATTTTAGACTAAGTGCATGAATATAGAAATTGGGCCAGATTCTGATCTTCTTTTACAGCAATGTAGGTCTGGAGTAACTCCTTATGGTTTCAGTGGACTCAATTCACCTCTGCACTGTTACAATCACAATACTCAGTTTGTTTTAAATTAGTTTACAGTAATTGGGACTCTTGACTAGGTTATCTAGCTCCAATACAAAAATGTGTTTATTCACTCTCGTAATCTGTGCATCTTTATAATGCATTCAATTAACTTTTATTCTAGGAGTGTATTAAAAAGAAACTTTAGCCAAACTCTGTGGGAGAATTGTGTTAAAAAGAAAAAAAGTTTAAACATTTAACTACTGTTCTGTAGGACTTTTGCACTCAGCTCTTGAGAGCAAGGGTAATTTATGTACAAAGATGCCTTAAAATAAGCCTCCATAATTACAAAAATGCAGTGTTTAAATTTATAGTAAAAACCCACATACTGCTGGCAAAACTGTGACTACATCTGGAAAACATTAAGGATGCTATTAAAATAGTCCAGCATAAACTAGAAATGAGACTGAAATTACAGTGTTGCTTACTTTTTACCTGAACAAACATTTTTAGGAAGTACATGTTGAATGTGAAACACTTTCCTATTTGATATAACTTTGAATTTTATGTAGTTCAACTATAATTGAGCATGAGTTTTACACCTAATTTTGTCCTGTTTTTAGAACAGTGACCTGATTTTTTTTTTAATGTCCTCCTATAATTTGTTGTTGTTTAAAACATTTCCAGGAGGCTGCTGATCCAGCTGTTGGGAAGGATAATGACTGGCTCTCAAATAAGGATTTAAAGTGTGATCACATCTCTTAAACATTTATTTTATTAAAAAGGGAGAATGTTTTAAAACATTGAAAAATTGCTACTTTTTTTTTTTATAAAAACAGAAATAGGCAAAATGCCCATTTGTCTTATTTACATAATACATTACAACATTTCTCAATTTATAAAATTATTTACAATATATATAAAAAAAAATCAGTAAAATAGGTTATTTTTTTTACAAGACATCAAGCCCTGTACTTCTAGTGTAGATCATGGCAGACAAGAATATTATTGCACCAATGAAACAAATAGTCTAACAATCAGAGTGTTTCTCTTAGCCATGCCTTCAACTGCAATCTAAAAATATCATCAGCGACAGTAACATTCATTTAATCCCATCTAGGGTTGACTTCAGGCAGTTTCCATACAAACATTGTCTTATAAAGCTTATGTATTGGGCAATTACAATCAGAGATACAGTATTTACAGCTTCTTCTATACAATCTGCATGGAGTCTTGTTGAGTTTACCCTTCACAGAAGCTCTATAAATAAACCATATTCTCTTGAGTGAAGCGGACAGTCACACTGATACAGTCCCTTTAAATTCTCTTCAGGAGATGACAGGCTAAACCTCCTTGAGTCAAATTCTTCCTTACCATCCATGGCTAGAGCTTTGTTGCCTCTGTAAGTAGTACCAGCTACAGATTTTTGAACGATTCTGCACCTGAGCAGTTAAATAATGTCTGATGTGCAGTACAGAGTCTCTATAGCTACATGTGCCTTTTCATGTGCAGAGCCAGGTGGTCTGACCTAGAGAAAGCCCTGTCACAGAGGTGGCACTGGAAGGGCCGGTGGCCAGTGTGCTTGCGATAGTGACGAGTCAGTTCATCAGAGCGAGCAAACTTCCAGCCGCAGCCTTCCCAGTTACAGTGATAAGGTTTCTCACCTGTTGGGAAAATCAGACAGACCATGACTCAGTGAATTCCTCCCACATAAAGGCAGCTCCCAAACACTAGAAGGGTTGTAAACTCTCTCACTATGTTTCAGCATACTCCTAACATTTATCTTAGCATAGCATTTTATATTGGTGCCCAGTACTATAGTATCAAAGTGCCTCCCAGGATAATTAAATTGCAGTAGCAACTCTTCTCCCTTCTCTGGGCAGAGGACGCTCTCTGCTTGGAGTAGGGTTGTGTTTTGTTTTTGTTTTTGTTTTGGGGGTGATTGGAGCGGAGGGCCATTGTTGCAAGTATCACTCCTGGTTATGTTGGAAAAACTTTAGCAAAAACACATGCAGACATCTCCCAGCCACGACAGGGTTATTAACCTCTCAGACTATAGCTGGGCATGCATGCATGTAGCTTACAGACTCTATAAGATTAATGAACTTCTCACACAATTCAGGTTACATTCTGCTCTTAGAACTAATTCTGTGGCAGGGGGTTTCTTAGCATACATACATGGCAAACCCTGTGGTTGCCCCATATAGCTAAGCATTGCGTTGTATTTACCTGTGTGTGTTCTAAGGTGTGCCTTCAAGTGGGAGCTCTTGGTATAGGTTTTCCCACAGCCTGCATAGGTGCATGTGTGTGTGGCTGTCCTCTTCCTGGGCCAGGATCGTCGCCCTCTTTTGGGCTTGGAATCTATCAGCTCCAAGGGAGAGGAAGGAGGAGTTAGCATGCCTCTTGGAGCTGAGGGTTGCAAGGGCAGGCTGTCCTCAAACAAGCCAAACTGAGAGGCACTCTGGTACTGGAAGTGGGTCTGGTGATGGTGGAAGCCTGTGGCAGGGTGATAGCTTTGTTGGAATGACATTGACGAGGGGCAGATCATCTGTGCTTGGCAGTCAGTCACCATGAGGTCGTCAGGGCTCAGAGGGGGTGTCTCTGTGCCAGGGATCTGGGGTGAGCTGGCCATCCTGGGCTGCTCATAGGCCATCATGCAGGTTGCATTGCCTTCTTGCTTGATCTTAGGGCATGTCTGAGGGACGAGACCCATGACGGGCCCATAACTGTCCATGTCAGGTTCTGGTTTAATGTTGTCCACAAAGTGTGGGCTCCCAAAGCTGGATGTCACAAAGAATCGTCCCTGGACATGGTTAGGGAGGCAGAAGTTTGAGTCCATTTCAGATCTGATCATCTCTGACATGAGGCTGGAGTTGTAAGGAGGTGGATTGCTCTGGCCCAGGGAACTGTAGCATCCAGAAGATGGATTTGTCTGGTAGAAGCTGCTAGGCTCGGTCTGTGCTGAGGGATAGTCCCCACTAGGTGAGTTCTGGCTGAAGTTGTCATTGCCCATGGAAAGGATAAAATCCAAAACGTTGTTGAGATCTTCATCCTCTTTGCGAGGAGAGAGGCTGCCCAGTCCAGGCCTTAGTTCTGGCATGGTGCAGCTGTTGACAGGGGCCTTGTCCTCCTGGTCACATTTCCATCTCTGAGAAAGCAAAGCAGAAAGGATTAGAGCTCAGGGGAGAGAATCCAGGAATCTCTGCTAATAGACAGGGTTAACCCATCTCCTCCAGGGCTAGCGTTTACTCCATCAATTAGTGTTACTCAAAATGCTGTAATGCCCCATCACTGCATGGGGCTTCCCCCTGCACATACCCCCGACCCCAAGCGCTGCACACACACGCTGACACTTCACAGCATTTCCCACCCAAGCCTTTGTAGAAGTCAGGTCATTAATATCCAGCTGTCCCTTTTCAGGAGCAGTTGGTCGCGGCATCCCTCTGGACCTCCCCGGCCAGAGGAGTTTGGGTCTGGGGGAAAAGGGCGCCCTCCACTCTCTCAGACTTGCCCTGCCTGGCACGTCACGGCGGGGGCCCCCGGCCTGCCCGGGCGCTTCGCGGACACTCACTTCGTGGAAAGTTTTCTCCCTGCAGGGGCTGGCAAAGGTGGCGAACGAGGGCAGGGTCGTGTCGCTCAGCGCCATGGTGCGTCCCGGCTCGGCTGCTCCGGGGGGCGATGGCTGGAGGGGCTGCGAGCTGGCGGCTCCCGGGCCCTCCCTGCCTTATAGCCCTGGCCGCCAGAGCCCTCAAGCCAATTGCAGGGAGCGGAGGAAACGCGTCCCGGACGGGGCGGGAGGGAACGAGCCAGCGCAACCTAAATTTAGCCCCGCTATAAAAGGAGGCAGCGGCGGCTGCTGCAGCTGCAGCTCCAGCCTGAGCGGGGCGGAGCGGCCGGCTCTCGGCCTCGGCCCCGGCCCCGGCCCCAGCCCCTGGGTCCCCCCGCCTGGGCCGCCGCTGGAGTGCCAGTGAAACGGGATCCGAGTTTCCCCAATACAGTTCCCTCCCCGCGCAGGGCCCGAGAGCACCAGTTCTCCAACACCGGGGCCAGGAGGAGCCCCCCCCTGGGAGGGAGGCGCCTAGGGGGCAGGAGGGGTGTGTGTCAGGGCTTCCCGTGGGGCAGGAGCGGAGCAGGGGTTCAGGGTTTCGCGTGGGGCAGAAGCGGGGGGATTA